TACCCCGTTTACCATGTTTAACCAGCAATGTTTAGTAAAGGAATCATCCAATGCATTGTCTCTTTGTATATGTGTCTGTCTTGCCAAAAATTTTATTTTTATCAACTTCAATGGGACAACATATGACTTATATTAATTTATAATGACTTAGGAATGGCAAGTAGTGTTTTTTTAGTATTTTTTTTTTTTTTTTAGTGTTGAATAGTGCAGGAAGGGTTGAAGCCACTGGTAGTTATTTTTTGTTGTCTGCATCCTGTTGGGAAGATTTCTCTTTACTTTCTGGAGAAGCAACAAGAAGTTAGACGAAATCTCCAAAAGTAATGGAAATGCCCTTCTTAGGAAGCTGTCAACAGAAAGAAGACTGGATAAAGAGGTAGATCCCACCCCCCCCCCCCCCCCCCCACCTTTTTTTCTGGTGACAACTGTAAATCTTTAGCTTTTACATTACTTTTTGTATTTGTGACAATGATTGCCAGGATGGAGAAGGTGAATCTCCCTTGTGGGGACAGGGACAACCTAGCAGGAGTTTTTATCCTGTTCCTACTTTATCCAAAATGAACAAAAAAGTTTTGTCTATGCATACAGGATAGCTTAAATCAGAACTGTGCTGCTGTAGGTGCCCAGAGCTATCAGGTACAAGTAGGTACAGCAGGGCTGCTAATTAGGCAACAAAGCCGGCCCTTCTGTCCAAGCCCCATCAGTTCAAAAGGGGGGCCCAGGCATCTGCTGAGCAGGAGGTACTCTTGTGGCTTCCCCTTTTCCTTTTTCTGCCTCTGGCTCAACTGTAGGGAAATTAGTATCTGCACCCTCTCCCTGCTGTCCTTCCCCCCCTGCAGCGCCACCGGAATCCCTCCTCTCCCTCTGCCAGCTGCTGCAGGGCACAGGAGGATCAGGTTCAGGATGGAGAGCTGGGGGGGGCAGTAAATAAGTCCAAATACTGGCCTCTACCTTTCCTGAATGAACACAGTAAGTGATCAGGAGCAATAGCTCCTGCACCCATTCATCACTGAAGCACAGTAAACCGTGTTCAGCACCGAGCACTTCCCATTCATTCACTGTCCAATGCAGCTGAGGCAATATCTGTGAGGGAATATCTGTCCTCACTCCCTTTCTTGGTCTCAAAAGTGAGACATCAGGCAACTGTTTAGAGCCCTGATATTTCAACAAATCCCCTCCCCCCAAGAGGGCAGTTAGAAATATATTAAATAAATAAAATTCTATGGGATGTATGGGGTGTACGAGGTATACATGTATGGGATGTATGGGGGGTAGGGGGTGTATGGGGTGTATGGGATGGGGTGTATGGAGTATGTACAGGTGGGTGTAGGGGTACGGGATGTATAGGTGTACGGGGATGTATGAGGTGTATGGGATAGGGTATGAGATGGGTATGGGGTGTACAAGGATGTACAGGGTGTAGGGGATGTATACAGGGTGTACGGGATGTATAGGGTGTACAGGGAAGTATGGGGTGTACAAGGTGTACAGGATGTATAGGGTGTACGGGATGTATAGGGTGTATGGGATGTATGGGAATGTATGGGGGTGTACAGGATGTACAGGGTGTAGGGGGTGTACAGGAGGTACATGGGGTGTATGAGATGTACGGGGTGCATAGGATGTACGGGATGTATAGGATGTATGGGTGTACAGAGTGTATGGGATGTACGGGGTGTATGGGGATGTACATGGGGGTGTAGGGGGTGTACAGGATGTATGGGGTGTATACAGGTTGTATGGGAGGTTGTATGGGGTGTATGGGATGTATGGGGTGTATGGGATGTACGGGGGATGGGATGTATGGGGGTTGTATGGGGGATGTATGGGGTGTATGGGGATGGGGGTGTATGGGGGATGTACGGGGTGTATGGGTTATATGGGGATGTGTACGGGGTATTGTAGGGAGGGGATGTGTACGGGGTGTATGGGATGTATGATGATGGGGTGTGGTGTGGCCAAGCATATATTCTGACAGGAAGCATCAATTAACTACCATAGAGCTCCACAGCACCTTGGTAGTTCATTGGAAACTACAAGCTGACGGCCGCTAAGGCTGCTGGGACCTGCAGTTCATTCATTAATGGAAGTCTGTAAATGAATGGTGTGGCAGTGTGGGCGGAACTCTACATGACCGCTCTGTTTTCAAATTGGACAGATAGTACAGGGGAACTTCTTTCTGTATTATCTGTCGGGGGGGGGGGCAGCAGGCGCTGACGGATGGAACATGGAACATGTTCACAAAGTGAACTTCTCCTTTAACCATTTTTTTTACTGTCTTCAAAATGGAGAGGAAAAAGTTCTGTCTAGGCACCACTATAACCTGCGCTACAAGCAAACCTGTGCCACTGGGGGCCACAACTGGGGGTCAGCAGGGCTCTTGCCATCATGTACAAGTATGCACAGCATATGACAGACCTCCCTCCCAAAGTGCCCACTCTTCCTGGATGTTCTCTAAGCTTCTCCCACTCACCCTGAACACATTTTTGGGCTTCAGGAAGATCCTGGTAAGCATACACAGGAGAGGCTGGGGCAAAAGTGATCAGGCGGCTATAAAGCCATAAAGTTGGGAATCTGCTGCAGAAACCCTAACCCAGGGGAAGAAACCTTGAAGAGGTGGAGATCTACCTGAACAACACAGGAGAAGACAAAAGATCACAGGGAGCAGTGTTGGCCAGTGTCACCTCCTCACACCCGATTTAAACCCATGACTGTCATGCTACCATGTCACAATCACACGCATCGCAAGGCAATCATGGGTTTAAATCAGGGGATGAGGAGGCAACATATTGGCCCCTCACCACCTGTCACACACATGGATCAGTTTGCAGAGGAGCAGCATTGTTTGCAGCACTTGTGAAGGAGCACTTTGTTGCATCTGGCAGCGACACTCCTAGGGCTCATTCACATGTAAAGTTGGGGGGAGGGGGTGGTAAAACCCTGCAGTTTAGTCATGGTTTTACAGCCCCCAATCCCCACCCCCTTTAGCTGCTGAGTCAGTAGTCACTCGAGACCCTTTCAAGTAAATGGGGCCACTCGGCAACCAGCCCACAACTGCATGCTTCTGCGGGGTCTGAGGAGATTAAAGCAGGGGGTGAAAAAGCCACATGCTGCTGCCTGTTTAACCCCTCATTTGCTGTACTGCACAAGGTTGCAGGGCACTTGCAGAGTGGCCTCATTCACTTGAGTGCCTCATGCTTGGCTGGTGCTACTTCCACCAACCATGAAGGGGCGTAGGAGCCGGCACTACGGAGGAGACATCAACTTATGCCGCTCTTGCTGCCTACTACAGATCCAACGTTACACGTAGTCCCTCTGCATTGCACTCTGATGTTCTGGGATGGCAGATCAGCAAGCCCAGACCGAGATCCACCAGTCACCTGGCCGCAATCTACTGGTAGAACACGATCTACTAACCCAACCCTAAACCAACCCGAACCGCACTATGTACATCCAAAGAGCTGAAGTAGTTGAAGTCCCACTCCAGGAAGTCAATGCTGGTTTGGGCAAAGACACCTCAAATCTGTATCCTGCTCCTCCAGTCCTCAGAGTCTGTATGTTTCAGGGAGACATGGACCTAAATCTGAAATAAAACTACTCCAAAGGTCCCCCCCAGGCACACACCTCCAAAAGAATAGAGCCCCCAAATGCCAGGGCCCATGGTCAGTGGCTAGACTGCAATCCCCTCCAAACGCCACTGTCCTGATTGGGTCTGTCACATTCCCCAAGCCAATCCCACTCATCCTGAACACATTTATTGGGCCTCTGGAGGAGTGGGAGAGCCTGATAAGTAGAGAGAGGAGGGGCCAGAGTAAAAGTGATCAGGCAATTATACGGCTAACTGGATCACATTTCCATTAAAGTTGGGAGACTGTTGAATAAACCCTAAACCAACCCTAACCGCACTATGTACCCCCAGAGAGCTGATGTAGTTGAAACCCAACTCTGGGAAGAGTAGGAATCCTCCCATGTAGTGGGGCTGCCCCTGCACTGCAAGGGTTCAATGGACATTTCAGTCTAGGCCAATTTTATGTACCCGATTTTACTTGCACATCCCTCCACATCCCTCCACATCCCTATGCTCCAGTATTGGAGTGTTCCTCTGCTTCCTCATACCTCAGTGCAGGTCTATGCTGTCTTGATGATGTCAGAAGGCACCGAAGTGTGGTGCTCACCCCCGAAGGAGGGCACAGTGACCAGTCCATGGGTAGGGTCTAGGGGTGTATGGGATGCCCAAGTTGAGTAGCAGTAATAACTCTGAGGACAGATTCCTGATTATGTACAAAAAAAGGCAGATCCTGAACTTTCTATTCGAATGGCACAATCTCTGTGAGGAGCACCTGATCTGCTCTAAGTGAACCCTCTTCAGACCTCAGCTAGGAAATGCCCATCCACCTGGCTGTCTTTTGAAGAGTACCCTGAAGCAAGAGATTCCAAGACAGACATGCAGCCCTGTCCCAGGAAGAGCTGGTTAAGTATTGCACCCAGCAGCCCTCTCCCCTGTAGGTCCCAGGGGTGTAGAAGTCCCCACACTGGGCTCAATTCACGAAGACCAATTTTCCTATAGAAATCTGAGATAAAATAACTCAAAGCTGTTTTTCAAACTTTTTTTTGCAATTCACAAAACAACGCTACCAAAATAAAGCATGAGTTATTTCAACAAAAATGTGAGGTATTTTACTCCCGAACCCATGCGGTGAAATCCAGTTAGATGTATACAGTGGAGAAGGATCAGAACCCCTGACAGTTTTTATTGCTAATAAATCTGAGTAGAAATCTGCCAATATGCCAAGTAAGTCAGCGCTGTGCCTGCGGAATATACAGTAAGGCTCCCTGCAGCATAAAAGAAGGGTCCGGGGGAGAGCGGATATAGTGAATGCGGGGTCCGGGGAGAGCGGATGTAGTGAATGCGGGGTCCGGGGAGAGCGGATATAGGGAATGCAGGGTCCAGGGAGAGCGGATATAGTGAATGTGGGATCCGGGGAGAGCAGGTATAGTGGATGCGGGGTCCGGGGAGAGCGGATACAGTGAATGCGGGCTCCGGGGAGAGCGGATATAGTGAATGCGGGGTCCGGGGAGAGCGGATATAGTGAATGCGGGGTCCGGGGAGAGGGGATATAGTGAATGCGGGGTCCGGGGAGAGCAGGTATAGTGGATGCGGAGTCCGGGGAGAGGGGATATAGTGAATGCGGGGTCCGGGGAGAGCGGATATAGTGAATGCGGGGTCCGGGGAGAGAGCGGATATAGTGAATGCGGGGGTCCGGGGAGAGGGGATATAGTGAATGCGGGGGTCCGGGGAGAGCGGATATAGTGAATGAGGGGTCCGGGGAGAGGGGATATAGTGAATGAGGGGTCCGGGGAGAGGGGATATAGTGAATGCGGGGTCCGGGGGGGAGAGCGGATATAGTGAATGAGGGGTCCGGGGAGAGGGGATATAGTGAATGAGGGGTCCGGGGAGAGGGGATATAGTGAATGCGGGGTCCGGGGAGAGGGGATATAGTGGATGCAGGGGTCCGGGGGGAGAGCAGGTATAGTGGATGCAGGGTCCGGGGAGAGCGGATATAGTGAATGCGGGGTCCGGGGGAGAGCGGATATAGTGGATGCGGGGTCCGGGGAGAGCGGATATAGTGGATGCAGGGTCCGGGGAGAGCAGGTATAGTGGATGCATGGTCCGGGGGAGAGCAGGTATAGTGGATGCAGGGTCCGGGGAGAGCAGGTATAGTGGATGCAGGGTCCGGGGAGAGCAGGTATAGTGGATGCAGGGTCCGGGCTTTAGTGACACTAACATCATGGGACAATTAAAGGATTAACTGTGTCTATGACTCCATGAACACTGGGGGGCACTTTAATAACACTGGTAGTGTTAGCTGTCTAAAGTCATGTTAAACACACAAGTTTTTTTAGCATTTTTTGCGTTTTTTGCATTAGCATTTAGCCACGATTTTTTTTACCAAACAAAATTATTTTTTTGGCTCAAAAAAAGTTCAAAAATGCTGGTTTGCTGCATTTTATAGCATTTTACCGCATTTTTCAACATTTTTACAGCTAAAAATCTTCTCTATAAGACACATAGGATAAACATGCTGGGGAGTTTACTGGCTGTAGACAAAAAATGCCAAAATCCATAAACAGCTGCTGTAAAAACGCCCCGTGTGCATGAAGACTAAGAGTGCTTGGTGTATTTACTGTGTGCTGATTATACTATTATTATTGTTTTTATTCCCTGCTTTGCAGCTCATCCCCACTGTAAGGACAGACCTCTGTCCTGTCACCCTCTTCACTGATCAGAGGGTCCCGGCCATCAATTATTGGCTGGGACACACTGATTGGCTTGTGCTAGAAGTAATCACAGCACAGTCAGGACGGGGGGGTGGATGTACATACATACATCCTACCTGTTAGAGCTGGATCACTTATCAGATACGTGACCCAGCGCAGACTCCTGTGTGAGGCGTTCAGCAAGTGGATAATTATTACCTGCCACATCTTGGTTACAAAATCACTTTCACAGACAGCAAAAAAAAAAAACCTAAAAAGGGGTACTATTCCTTCCCCACTCCATCCAAAACTATTAGAAAGAGACTTTGTCTGTAGATCCACTTTGAGTTGCCATCTGCTCTCCATCTCTTGGCTGCTGCAAGGCATAAACTAAAAGCTGATGAAATATGCGCCTGGCACAAATACAGGTGAAACTCAAAAAATGAGAATATGGTGCAGACGTTCATTTATTTCAGTGCAGCAACTTAAAAGGTGACACTAATATATGAGACTCATTACATGCAAAGCAAGATAGTTCAAGCCGTGATTTGTCATCATTGTGATGATTATGGCTTCCAGCTCATGAAAACCCCAAATCCACAATCTCAGAAAATGAGAATATTCCATGCAATCAATAAAACACAGGATTGTACATAGAACAATAAATATCGCACCTCTGAGAAGTAGAAGCTGCATATGTACTCAGTACTTGGTTTGGGCCCCTTTTGCAGCAATTACTGCCTCAATGCGGCGTGGCATGGAAGCTATCAGCCTGTGGCACTGCTGAGGTGTTATGGAAGACCAGGATGCTTCAATAGCGGCCTTCAGCTCTTCTGCATTGTTCCGTCTCATGTCTCTCATCTTTCTCTTGGCAATGCCCCATAGATTCTCTATGGGGTTCAGGTCAGGCAAGTTTGCTGGCCAATCAAGCACAGTAATCCCACGGTCATTGAACCAGGTTTTGAAGCTTTTGACAGTGTGGCCTGCTGGAAAATGAAGTCAGCATCCCCATAAAGCTCGTCTGCGGAAGGAAGCATGAAGTGCTCCAAAATCTCCTGGTAGACAGTTGTGTTGACTCTGGACTTAACCATTTCCATGCCGGGCAAATTTTACACCTTCCCCCCCCAGGCCATTTTTCAGGTTTCAGCGCTCTCACACTTTGAATGACAATTGCGCGGTCATACAACATTGTACCCAAACTAAAATTTTATCATTTTCTTCACACAACTAGAGCTTTCTTTTGGTGGTATTTAATCACCGCTGGGGTTTTTATTTTTTGCTAAATTAACAAAAAAAGTCCCAAAATTTTGAAAAAAAACCCACGTTTTTCTTTGTTTCTGTTATAAAAGTTTACAATTAAATAATTGTTCTTCATAAATTTAGGCCGAGATGTATTCTGCTCCATGTCTTTGGTGAAAATAACCCAAATTAGGGGATGTCTAGGGGATTATAACCCAATACCCAACCTTATAACCTAACCAACCTAAATAACCCAATTTAGGGGATATCTGTACTGTCCTGACATTTTGGGGGATATCTGTACCGTCCTGACATTTGGGGGATATCTGTACCGTCCTGACATTTGGGGGATATCTGTACCGTCCTGACATTTGGGGGATATCTGTACCGTCCTGACATTTGGGGGATATCTGTACCGTCCTGACATTTGGGGGATATCTATACCGTCCTGACATTTGGGGGATATCTGTACCGTCCTGACATTTTGGGGGATATCTGTACCGTCCTGACATTTGGGGGATATCTGTATGGTCCTCACATTTGGGGGATATCTGTACCGTCCTGACATTTGGGGGATATCCGTACCGTCCTGACATTTGGGGGATATCTGTACCGTCCTGACATTTGGAGGATACCTGTACCGTCCTGACATTTGGGGGATATCTGTACTGTCCTGAATAGAGATGAGCGAAAGTATTCAAAAATTCGATTCGACTGATTCGGCGAATTCGTGGAAAAATTTCGATTCGAGTCGAATATATTCGCTGCGAATTTAACTTATAAAAGGGTGTTTCTAGGCTTCAGAGAGCCTTTATATTAGTGCAGAACACTGTACCTTTAATTTAAATGCCCTTGGAGTCTGCTGGGGAAGAGAAATAATACTGTCAGTCAGTATGACATGCAGATGAGTGCCGTCGATCTTAGAATCACCGCACACTTCACTCATTTGGTCAGTCACGGGGCCAAAACCAGAGTGTGGAGCCACAGTTGTGGCGGTGGAGGCAGCAGCAATGGGAGGCCATACAGCACCCTATGACAAAAATGGAAACCACCAGCAGTGTGAGGAGACCTGAAAGTGGCACATGGCAGAGTGTGGCGATGGAGACCAGCAGCAATGGGAGGCCGTACAGGGACCCATGACACACTCTGGACCTGGCAGCAGCATGAGGAGGCGGAGGTACAGGGGCCCATGACAGATTACGGGCCTGGCAGCAGCATGAGGAGTAGGTACGGGGGCCCATGGCAGATTACGGGCCTGGCAGCAGCAATGGGAGGCCGTTACAGGGGACCCATGACACACTCTGGACCTGGCAGCAGCATGAGGAGGCGGTACAGGGGCCCATGACAGATTACGGGGCCTGGCAGCAGCATGAGGAGTCGGTACGGGGGCCCATGACACACTCTGGACCGAGTTTTTTTGGCAGCAGCATGAAGAGGCGGGTTGGGTACAGGGGAGCATGACAGATTACGAGCCTGGCAGCAGCAACTTGGACAGGAGGACGTTCAGCTTCTGCACCGTCGGGTGCGTGCTCACAAACTGTTGTCTCTTGGAAACGGATTCCAAGAAAGACTGCTGACGGAATCCGTGAAGAGGAGTAGCAGGAGAAGGAGCATCTGAACGAGCGGAATATGCCAACAAGCGACAACAGGGGCCCATGACAGATTACGGGCCTGGCAGCAGCATGAGGAGTCGGTACGGTGGGCCCATGGCAGATTAGGGGCCTGGCAGCAGCAATGAGAGGCCGTAATTTGCCAGCACCCTATGACAAAAAATGGAAACACCAGCAGTGTGTGAGGAGACCTGAAAGTGGCACATGGCAGAGTGTGGCGATGGGAGACAGCGCAATGGGAGGCCGTACAGGGACCCATGAGAGACTCTGGACCTGGCAGCAGCATGAGGAGGCGGTACAGGGGCCATGGCAGATTAGGGGCCTGGCAGCAGCAATGGGAGGCCAGTAATCTGCCAGCACCCTATGACAAAAAATGGAACACACTCCAGCGGCTGTGAGGGAGACCTGAAAGTGGCACATGGCATGAGGACACGTGTGGACATGGCCAAGCAGCCATTGAGGGAAGGGCGGGGGTACT